AATATTGAAGGATCTACAGGGAAAATATTGAGCAATGCAGGAAACATCAAAAGAAGATAGAAGGAATACACAGAGTCTCTGTACCAAAATGGTTGACCTTCAATCATTTCAGGAGGTAACATGTAATCAAGAACCGATGGTACTGAATGAAGAAGTCCAAGCTGCACTGAAGGCATTGGCCAGAAACAAGACTCCAGGAATTGGTGGAATACCGGAATTGGTGGAATACCAACTGAGATGTTTCAACAAATGGATGCAGTGCTGGAGGTGCTGTGTTGTCCATGCCAAGAAATTCAGAAGACAGCTACTTGGCCAGCTATAAAAATGGCATCGGGCAGTATCTGACCTCCTCTAACTTCACAAGGGCAAAGGAGAGTCAAGATCAACAGCCCAAGGGTAATTCGTATAAGGCAGGGGTCAGATATGCCTCCTCTCTCTGCCATCTTTACCAATTCAGACACCAACTGTCCCTTCCACAGCACTCTCTACTTCTCTGATGGTGCAACAAATTATCACAGTGGACACACAGAACTCACAGACAATACTCTATTATAGAGTTTATTAGGGAGTAACAGGTTACAGCTCGAGCTCAGGAACACTCAAGGATACAGTTATTCCCTCAGGACAGCCTCTTCCCATCCATGCTTGCAGGCGCACTTCTCGCTGACCCTCAGTCTCTGATCAAAGGAACTCAGCTTTCTCTCTCTGTGGGCCAGGAAGCCCACTGCACCTTCTTCTGCAGGTCTCTCCTGCCGGTCTCTCCTTCCTTGGTGGTGGTGGGCTCTTCTCTTTCCTGCCTCTGGGATGGCTTATTTCAAGGCCAGCAGGATGGCAAAACTGCCAGTGCCCTTGATGAGCTTCAGTTACCCTGTCTGCACAGTCCTGCCTAATCACCTGGGTGGGAGTTAAAAGACCATGGCAAGAAAGTCCACATTAAGTAATTCATTGCACCACACCAACTGACTGGAAGAGATCCATATTTGTGCCCAATTTCAAAGAAAGGTGATCCAACAGAATGTGGAAATTACCGAGCAATATCATTAATATCACACCCAAGTAAAATTTTGCAGAAGATAATTCAAAAACAGTTGGCAGCAGTACATTGACAGGAAACTGCCAGAAATTGAAGCCAGATTCAGAAGAGGATTTGGAACAAGGGATATCGTTGCTGATGTCAGATAGATCTTGGCTGAAAGTAGAGGATACCAGAAAGATGTTTACCTGTGTTTTTATTGACTTTGCAAAGGCATTTGACTGTGTGGATCATAACACATGGATAACATTATGAAGAATGGGAATCTAGAACACTTAATTTTGCTCATGTGGAGCCTGTACATAGACTAAGAGGCAGTCATTTGAAAAGAACAAGGGGATACTGCATGGTTTAAAATCAGGAAAGGCATGCGTCAGGGTTTATCCTTTCACCATACTTACTCAATCTGTATGCTGAGCAGATAATCCTAGAAGCTGGACTATATGAAGAAGAATGTGGCATCAGGATTGGAGGAAGACTCATTGACAACCTTTGATATGCAGATGACACAACGTTGCTTTCTGGAAGCAAAGGACTTGAAGCACTTACTGATGAAGATCAGAGACTACAGCCTTTCTTTATATTGGATTATACCTCAATATAAAGAAAACAAAAATCCTCATAATGGGACCAATAAACAACATCGTGATAAATGGAGAAAAGATTGAAGTTGTCGAGAATTTCATTTTACTTGGATACACAATCAATGCCCATGGAAGTAGCAGTCAGGAAATCAAATGGCACATTGCATTGAGTAAATCTGCAAGAGACCTCAAAGTGTTAAAAAGCAAAGATGTCACTTGGAGGACTAAGGTGCGCTTGACCCAAGCCATGCTGTTTTCAGTCACGTCATGCATGTGAAAGCTGTATAGAATGAATGAGGAAGACAGAAGATGAATTGATGCCTTTGAATTACGGAGTTGATGAAGAATATTGAATGTACCATGGAGTACCAGAAGAACAAACAAATCTATCTTGGAGGAGGTATAGGCAGAATGCTCCTTAGAAGCAAGGGTGGCAAGACTGTCTCACATACTTTGGACGTGTTATCAGGAGGGACCAGTCCCTAGAGAAGGACATCATGCTTGGTAAAGTAGAGGATCAGTGGAAAAAGAGGAAGACCCTTAATGAGTTGGATTAACACAGTTACTGCAGCCGTGGGCTCAGATGTGGCAACAATTGTGAGGATGGTGTGGGAACTGGGCAGTGTTTTGTTCTCTTGTACATAGGGTTGCTATGCGTTGGAATCAAGTTGATGGCACCTAACAGCAACAACAACAACCAGACTTCATGTTGGTTTGCGTGGTTCCTTGGGAGGAAGTGCAAAGGGCTCATTATGGATTGCACATACAGTGGGTTGTGTTACTAGAAAAGAACTTTAAGCTTGGGGAATTTACTGTTTTTATAGTATATAGAGACAATCCAGCACTTTTTCCAGGAGGCACTACCTCATCCCATAGAAGTGCTTGCTGCAAACAAAGTCTGGAGAAATGGCATGGGTGCAGAGCAGCCAGGGCTTTGCATTCTTAGCATATCCCACAGGAACCTGCAAGGATGCTCAGGACACATGGCAAATTCTCTGTCCTAACACCAGTGTGCCTGCTCTAGGTGCATTCAGGGGTCTAAGTCAGTAACATATGAATCATTCTTGTCGCTTCCTTCCTTTCTTCTTCTATTAACTTCATCACAAAATGTTGTAAATTTTGTCTAAGTATTTTTGAAATGATTCTACTTCACTTTTTTACTACCACCTCCGCAGTCCATCATCTTCTGCTTGTTGTTGTTAGGTACCGTCAAGTCAGGTCAGACTCATAGCATGCCTGTGTACAACGAGACACTGCCCGGTCCTGTGCCGTCCGTTGCTATGCTTGAATCCATTGTTGTGTCAGTCCATCTCGTTGAGGGTCTTCCTCTTTTTGCTCAACCCTTTAGTTTATTGAGCATGATGTCCTCAGGTACTGGTCCCTCCTGATCACATGTACAAAGTGTATGAGACAAAATCTTGCCATCCTCGCTTCTAAGGAGCATTCTGGCTGTACTTATTTCAAGACAGATTTTTTTGTTCTTGTGATAGTCCGTGGTATATTCAGTATTCTTCACCAATGCTGTAATTCAGATGCATCAATTTTTCGACCTTCCTCATTCATGACCCAGTTTTTGCATACATCAGGCAATTGAAAATACCTTGGGTTGTATCAGGCACACCTTAGTCCTAAAGGTGACATCTTTGCTTTTTAACACTTTGAGGAGGTCTTTTGCAGCAGATTTTCCCTATGCAATACATCGTTTATTTCTTGACTCCTGCTTCTGTGGGCATTGCTAAGTCTCCTTAATTAATAGTTGTTAAGAAGCCAATTCTGTTTTGCCTCTTAACAATTATTCTTGCATTCACTCTTGTCATCCTACAGTCTGTTCACCTACACTGCAGACAGATAAAAACACAGATCTAGTCATGCCACCTAATTTCATCTGAAACGCTTTAGTGGTTTTCCACTGCTCTTAGCTTAAGTATTGTAGTTGTTAACATTGCCTTTATGAACTTGTGTGGTCTGGTTGCTGCCTATTTTTATAGCCTTATCTTTACACTGGTGGCACAGTGGTTAAGAGCTCAGGCTGCTAACCCAAAGGTCAGCAGTTTGAATCCACCAGCCGCTCCTTGGAAACCCTATGGGGCGGTTCTTGTCTGTACTATAGGGCTGCTGTGAGTTGGAATCGACTTGACGGCAGCAGGTTTGGTTTTTGGTTTATCTTTATATGACTTTCTTTGTGTCTGCAAGCTAGGTATTCTGGCCATCTTTCAGTTCCTTAAATACATTATATGCCTTCCTGCTACTGAATCTTTGATCATTTTACGTTTTCCTCTGCCTCTTGGCGTAGTTAACTGATATCCTTGTAGATTTCGTACCTGATGCTTTTTATCATTTCTTTTGATACAGTGCTAGTCAGAGTCACTATGATCTTTCTCTTGGATGATAGCCACGTAATTGGTCTCACTGTGTCCATTCTTTTCTCTCTAAAGTTCTTCTTAGTCATAGTACCCAGAGTCACTATCCTAAAGTATAAAACATTGTATACCTTCCCTGCATTTGATCTGAGTGAGATCCACATTGCTTTACCTGGATTAAAAATTCCTATTCATTCATTCAATAAATAGTAATTTAGCACCTACTACATATCAGACACTGTTCTAGGCACTGGGGATATAGCAGAGTATAGGCAAAATTTTTGCCTTCATAGAACTTACATTTTAATGGGGAGAGACAGACACAAGACATAAAAACGTAAGTAAAATAAGTAGGAGGTGAAGGTTTGTAAGTTTAAATAGAGTGTCGGGGTAGTCTTACAAAAAAAAATGTGTCATTTGAGCAATGACTTGCCTGAAGTTCGTGACGGAGTAAACTGTGCAGTTATTTGGGGAAGAGTTTTCATGACAAAGCAACAGTGATTGCAAAAGCCTTGAGGCAGAAACATGCTTGGTGTATTCAGAGAACAAAAAGGAAGCCCATACATATGGCTGGAGTGGTGTTAGTAAGAAGGAGAGAATAGGAGTTGAGATCAGATTCATATTTAAGTATTTTATTAGTTTTTTGGGTACTTCACCAAACATGATGTCCTCCTCTTGCGATTGATCCCTCCTGATGACATTTCCAAAGCAAGAGAGGTAGACAGTGTTCTGTGGTGATCCACAAGGTTTTCATTGGCTAATTTCTGGAAGTACATCACCAGGCCTTTCTTCCTAGTCTGCCTTAGTCTTGGAAGCTCCGCTGAAGCCTGCCCACCGTGGGTGACCTTGATGTTATTTGAAATACCAGTGGCATAGCTTCTAGCATCAGAGCAACATGCATACCACTGCAGTACAAGTTGATCAATGGGTGGTACTCCTTAGGAGATTTATAAACAAAATTCTTTGGAAGTTTAAAGATGGAAGAAATTAACTTCATGTAACAGATTTCTTTTTTCCTATCAGATGTGAAAGAAGACACACGTAGGACAAGTATATTCAATGATGCAGAAAACAAGAAGAATTCAATAAAAATGTGGTTTAGTCCTCGAAGTAAGAAAGTCAGATATGTTGTGAGTAAAGTTTCGGTGCAAACCCAGCCTCAAATGGTAAAGGATGAAAATGCTCAGCAGGCCTCAATGTATGAATTTGTTTCCGCAAGTCCGCCAGTAGATTTATCTGAGAAGGCTAAAAAGACTTCTACAAAATCTAGGAAAAAGCAAAAAAAGAAAACGTTAGCTGAAATCAACCAAAAATGGAGTTTAGAGACAGAAAAAGATGATGATGAACCTGACTCCAAAGAGGAATTTAAGGAAAAGCTGGTATCCTTCTGCAGCCAACCATCTGTTATTGCTAGCCCTCAGCTAAATGGTGAAATAGACTTATTAGCAAGTGACCCTATAGCAGAATCTGAATGTTTCGGAAGCTTAAATGAAATCTCTTTACCATTGGCTGAGCAAATAGTGTCTCCCGAAGTTGAGAGCAGGGATGAAGTAGTGATTCCTGAGGAGAATCCCTGTGAAAATGATCTTCCATCTAAGAAATCCTTGCCATTAGGTTGTGAAGGAAAACGTGGGCGTCACAACAGACTTTCCAGTCCCATTTCTAAAAGTTGTAGAAGCAACATTCAGAGCACCACTAGAAATCTTGTCAGGCAGACAGTCGTCTCAAAAGACTCATTGCCTGAGTGTTCTTCCCCACCTTCAAGCAAACTTAAGGTTGGTGGCAAATTAAGAAGAAAAAACAGTAATACGTTAGATGAATCCATTAGCCTTTCACCAGGTATGTCACCTTCTGCACTGAATAGTCCAAGTTACAGAGGAATGCTGTCTAGCCCCTCAGCAATGAAGCTGTCGCCGAGTAGCCGTATGGCTGTGAAAAGAAATCATAGAGGAGAGACTTTGCTCCATATTGCTTCTATTAAGGTAAGATATTTGCTCTGGAATACAATTTTGGAAGGAAACCAACTATAAAACAGTTTCCCTGGGGTTTATGAATAGTGACATAAGATCACTTACCACTTACTGGAGTAATTGACCTACCACAGATGTGATACTTCATCTGAACTAGAGAAGTACAATTCACAGGGGTTGTGTCCCCACCTCAGTTAGAGCAGTGGCCCTGGGCCCAAGAAGCGTGATGTTGCAGGAAAAAACCAGTATTTTAGTATTTCAACTTCTGCTTTGCCAGGTGCTTTCACTTTTATCTATTCCAGAACGATTTTCTTCAGTTTTCATCATTTTGTTTACCCTTTCTTCTTATGCTTTATGAATATAGATAATAGCCGAGTTATTGCTGCCAACACATTTTTACCCAGCAGAGGAACTGGGGACAGTATGAGAGAGGACTAGCTTCTGTGTGTGCTTGGTGCACTCCTAATGGGCACTCTGCTGGCGTTTGCAAGGTTGAAAGATGTGATCTGTACATTTCTCCAGTGACCTGGAAATTTCACTGTCAGAAGTAGCCCCATGTGAGTCAGATAAAAAGGAGCTGCTCTGTACCCTACAGTCAGCCATTGCTTTTACCGGCCTGCTTATTGAGGTTAATTCTTTTTAATTATTGCTGCTACACCTGGGTCCGTGGCATTATTAGTTTTGTGGAAGCTGACCTCTGTTTGCTGGGCATGAGGTGTAGTTGCAGTGGTTAAACTTTGAAGCTGACAGGAGTTTTACTCTGAAGGGGATCAGTTAGCCCCCGTTATAGACTTTAATCTGTGATTTCATGCAAGTGGTATTAAAATGTAATATGGTGTAGCTTAGTGCTAAATTAGGATAGCTTTTATGTTCTCTCAGTGACTTTATATTGTAAATTCACCCAGAGAATGCTTGGGTGCTTTGGATGGGGGAGAAATTTGGGAGGTTTGGAAGGAACCCCTTGGAAGTCCCAAAGCATGAGGTTGGTGGACAACATAAAACACCTACCTGCTGGGAAGAACATTGAGTAGATGTTAAGTGTTCTAGGAATTCCATATTTAATTGTGTGTGAAGAAGGGGAAAAGCACGAAAATGAGCTGCTCTCTAGTGTTGGTCTTTTCTTCATTGTCTTACCTCCCAAACTGATGTAGAGTACTCTGTTTCTGATGTCAGTTTGGGGAACCTGCAACGTGACTACATGCGAGGGATTGGATACCTTTCAGATAACTTGAATTTTCTGAGCTGGCCCTGGTTACATTTTAGTTTGATTTCTGCAAAGCATAACTTAAAAACCAGACTACATATTTTTGTCATCTTTTTATACAAGCTGTTACAATCTTAACATCCTGATGTTATTAATATTAATGCTTTATAGACACAAGTTGCTAGCATAATAATGATTTTTCGTTCATTTCTCTGACTAGTATGTAAGAATATAAGCTACTTGAGTTTCTGCATTTTGCTTTCTGGGAATTATTTTCAGACCACCAGGCAAACATCCATGTAAGTTGGTAGAGAATTTTCTTCCAGCCATAAGGATAATTTATTAAGGAAGATGTCTAGGGCCTAGCATCTAGGCTAGGATTTAACAATTGTTTTCTTAAGGACCAGAGTAAATATTTTCAGCTTTACAGGCTATATGGTTCCTGTTAAAACTGCTCAACGCTGCCCACATAGTGTAAAGTTGCCATAGACAACATATAAACCAATAGACTTTTTTTTTTTTTTTTTTAGAAAAAAAAATTTTTTAATTGTACTTCAGGAGAACGTTTACAGAACAAATAGTTTCTCATTAAACAGTAGTACACATATTGTTTTATGACATTGGTTAACAACCCCATGACATGTCAACCCTCTCCCTTCTTGACCTTGTTTTTTTTTTTTTTCTGGTGAAAATATACATAGCCAAAGATACACCATTTCAAAAACCCCTACATGCACAATTCAGTGACATCGACTACGCTCTTCCAATAGTGCTGCTATTCTCACTTTAGATGAAGGTCTACAGAACAAAATAGTTTCTCATTAAACAGTACACATGTTGCCCTATGACAATGGTCAACAACCTCGCAACGCATCAACACTATCCTTACTCAGCCTTGGGTTCCCTATCACTAGCTTTCCTGTCCCCCTCTGCCCTCCAGCCCCTGTCCCTGGACTGCTGTGCCTCACCAGTACCACTTGGTTCCATGGGGCTGTCCACTCTTTGCCTGAACGGTGAACCTCGGAAGTGATTTCACTGAGCTAAAAGGGTGTCTGGGGGCCATACTCTTGGGGTTTCTCCAGTCAGGCCAGTAAATCTGGTCTTTTTTTGTGCGTTAGAATTATGTTCTACATCTTTCTCCAGCTCTGTCTAGAACCCTCTGTTGTGATCCCGGTCAGAGCAGTCAGTGGTGGTAGCCGGGCACCATCTAGCTGTACTGGACTCAGTCTGGTGGAGA